AGAAAAAAGAAGTAACGTATAAATCATTCAAACATTCATTTCATCTAATGGAATGCTACCAGTAAAAAAATACCTAAAAAAAAAAAAAAAAAAAAAAGAAAAAAACCGCATTTAATGATTAATAAAACTTTTATTTAAATTTAGATCACTTCAAAACAAAAAAATTGATATTATATATAACATAGATTTTATAAAAAATGCATTTTTAATTTTTTTTAAAATCATATAAATTATAAACAAAACTTACTTCAAAATAAGTTCAAAAACAATTGGAGAAATGTTTGGTTTCTTCAAAGTAATCATGGCGTTACTAGGATCAGTTCTAGCCCAATTCACTGATAAAGCAGCTCGAAAATAAAAAGATCGAGCTCTCAAGATCACGGAGTGAGCTTTAAAAATTCGAATGTTCGGTGCTTGTCCAACAAGAATTTGAACATTATAATCATCAGCGTCTTGAAATAACTGACCAATATCTCGCAACAGAAGTTTTTCTAAATCTAATGCCATACTTTTCTTTTAAAAAACAAAAGTAAAAAGAATAGAAAAGAGCGAAGGAAAGAGAACGGAGTCGAGTTTAACCTATTGTTTTCCGTTTTCTTATTGATTAATTTAAACTAGTCTTGATTTAGTGAAATTGAATGTTGATCACGAGAAAGGCGTTACTAACTGTGGCATTATAATACGATAAATTTATTACATTACGTAACATCGTTTACATATCGTTTACATATCATGTGAATTTCAGCCCGAAATCCATCTGAATTTTTCAAGTTAGATACTTTTGCGGTTTTGGATAAACATGTTTTGATAAATTTTCTCAAAACAGATATCTTTAACACGGAGGAAATCGATATTTGGGAAAAAGTAATAAAATGGGGAATTACTCAAAATTCTCATCTTAGCGACGATGTATCTAATTGGACCCCTCACGATTTTGATTCTTTAAGAAAAACTGTACAAGATTGTATTCCTCACATTAGATTTTTCGATATCTCGGGACCGGACTATTATAACAAAGTCAGACCATTTAAGAAAATTTTACCAAAAGAATTAAAAGCTGATCTTCAACAATGGTATATTGGTCAAGAAGCTCCTTATAGAGCGATAATGATTCCTCCTAGGATTAAACCATTCGTATCAACCATTATTGGAAATGGACATATCGGTCAATTGGCTGCTTGGATTGACAATAAACAAGAACCATATCTCTCAAAAAATCCTTACGAATTCAAGTTGTTAATGCTTGGTAGTCGTGATGGATTATATAACGTTAGGGAATTTCAACGTCGATGTGGGAAAAAAGGTCCAACAATTATTATCATCAAAATAAAAAATTCCAATCGCATCATTGGTGGTTACAATCCAATCGAATGGTGTTCTTCTGAGGGTTACTTATCATCAAGAGACAGTTTCATATTTTCTTTCGACAATAATAAGAGTACGACAAATTGTATCCTTTCTCGTGTCGAAAATCCGGATTACGCCATTTTTAATTCCGATAACAATTATATTGGTTTTGGTAGCGATTTGGAATGGTTCGGTGGAACATGTGAGCGATATAATTATCAAAGAAAAATTCTTAATCAAATTGAGTTCACTATGGAAAATTATGAAGTGTTCCAAGTTAAAAAAAGGCATAACTATTAATTAATCCTTTGTTTAGAAAATATAAAATATAGAATCAATCACATGCATTTTTATCACACCATTATCACATCAAGTTTTTTTTTAATATCATGAACAAGTTAGTAACAACAATATAAAGTCTAATAATTTGGATTATGAACGGTGCATTGTATATATGGAAAAACAGTATGGTTTTTATATGGCTACACACCTTTGTAATATAGATTTCATTATTCAATCCGATATAGCAAAATTTGGATTTTTATGATTAATAATCATGTTTTCCTTTTTTTTTTCTTTTGTAATATATAGATTCTTCTTAATTCAAACAGTTCTAAATTTTATTTAGCAAATTTGAATTATGATTTTTTTTTTCTTTTTTTTTTTTTTTTCCTGTAATATAAAATTTTTTCTCCTCTAAAGGGTGGCAAGTTTTGTAAATATGATACTCTTTTATAAAGAGAATATGAAAAATCCTTATGATTGTATAAAGATAGATTATTACTCTTTGTCGAAATCAAAAAAAAAAAAAAAAATACATATATAAACTTAATAAAAATTTAAAACACTACTAAAGAAGGTTTCCTAAATTTAAGCAATAAACGTACTTTGAATTTATAAATTAAAGTGATACATTAAATCTTGTAATTATCTTTTTAATTATAACGATATTACTGTATAAATGTGTTGTTAACGCTACTAACTACGTTTTATTGATATAACATAGATGTACTGTATAATTAATAATACAATTAAAATAACTAGTTTATTAAATTAGAAGCAAGCTTAATAAATATATTACTATTATAAAAAAGCATTGCTTTAATAAAAAAACAAAATATTATTACAGATTTCAAAATAAATAATCATTTGTCATTGTTTTCCAACACTTCTTTTAATGACATTTTAGCGGAACCCCTAGGTTTTGGTTTTGATTGTGAAATATCAGGTTTCCATCCAATCTGCAAACAGTTAATTGATTGTTATATGAAAGCTTCGAATCTACATTATGTGCAATTCACATTCATGTGTAACTTACCAAGTATACTATCTGTACGTATGACGCAATTCATTAGATCAACTTTATTAATTAGGGAAAAAAAAATTGCGGAAATAAAAAAAATTTCCTTACCTGAAATGTTGCAGGAATAGTGCCGTCCGGTTTGCCGTGAAGTTCTGAAAAATTAATTATTGTTTAAATAAAACTAATAATGATAATTGTATAGATATATATTAAATAATATCTTACCTTTATAAATTGCAGCAGCAGCCAAAAGCGTATCTCTTTTCAAAAATGGTCGCCTATAATGATATCTTTTAATATGGATTTACATATAATCAGTAAAGTTTTTTAAACTCTGTTTCAAACCTTGCTAATACAGCGTTGCTTTCACCCATTGCCTTTAAATCTACTATTAACTCAAACATTGAAGGATAATTTACTATAATATCATCAACGTCTATCGTCGTTAAAGCAAATCCTGAACGCGAAAGTAAACTTCCAACATCGCGAATATCTATTTAAAAAAAAAACTTTTAATGAATAAGAAAAAAAAATTCAATAGATAGATTAAAAAGAATCATGGCTTACCTACCATCGGGGAAACACGAGGTGAAACACCATGTTCCCGTTCCAATTCTGCCAATTGCATGGATGTTCTGTACAAATTAAAAAAAAAATAAGTAAATAAAACCGAAAGAAGTTTCATTGGAGTGATTATGCATATTTGTATACCTAAGTTCAAATAAAGTGTCACCACCAAACATTGAAGCTAGAAATAAACCATCAGGCTTCAAAGATTTTTGGATTTGAATCATTGTGCCTACCGCAAACAGATTACAAGAAAAATTTTAATAAATTACATTGGTAACACAGAAAGCATTTACATCTAGGGATGTTATCGGCTCTATTCATTAATCGGTTTTTATAATAGTTAAATATACAAGTCGGTACAAACCGAAGCCATTAACATCCTTATTTACATCAAAGAGAATTAAGCACCTGGCAAATCATTTACCCAATGTAACGAAAGATTACTTATTACAGCTTCCAAAGAATTCTTTTCAAATGGAAGTAATTCCTCATCTACAACAATTCGCTCAACTTCAACTAATAAGTGATAGAATTTTTAAAATTCAAAGTTTCAGGAGAAAAGAAAAAAAAAGATCTAAACTAAATATAAGTTTATTACCATCATATTTTATATTTTTATCTCTTTCTAACATTTTCTCTAAAATAAAAAAGGAACTTTAATGTCAATTAGTTTAGAAATTAATAATGCCATTATACAAACCTGACATATCACACATCACTAATTTGTTCGATATATCACGATCCATATGTTTCACTATATGCCCACATCCACTACCTAAATCAACAATTGTATCATATTTTCGCTTAATATCCTACAAAAATTAACCATTATAATATAGCCATCTTTCCAATAAGAAAATGGTCATAATTTCATCATCTAATAAATTCTAATAAAATTCTAATAAATTAAATCACCAACAATCTATCAACAAGTCTATGTGCAACTTCATCTTTAAGATAATCAACTTGTTTACTAGTTTCAGTAACTAAAGCAGCTCGATCTCTTTGTAATTTTTTTGCCTTACGATCAAAAACTATAAATGCAGAAGTTTGTGACTTTTGTGAAGAGGCATAAGTTCTTGAAAAAATTTTTGAATTAATAAATCGGTAAAACAATATAGATCGCATTTAAAATTGACAAAAAAAATTTACGTACGTGAGATATTTATAAGTGGTACAAGGTCGGGCAACATCTTGATTTACCAAATTAGGACATTAATCGGATTTTTTTTGTTTTGTAATAATTTAAGAGCATTTAAGAGCGTCCAATTATCTAAAATAGCGTTGGTGATATTGCAAACAACAAAAATCAAAACCAAATCGGATGAATGGTTTTTTTTTGTTCTACAAACAAATATAAAGTGGTTCATTAGTTATAGGAAATTTTCTGTTGTGAATTTTATCAATTTACACTCGATATACTGAGTAACGAGAAATATTATTGTCACTCCTTATTTCACAATTGTTGTTAATATTTGAATTACCTTCAATAAAAAAAGTGTTACATAGCTTGATCCAATTATTGGATTACGATAATCTAAAATTGCAAAAGGGGTTACTTTATTTATGAGTATTTATAAAAAATCCCACCTTTTTAAAAACAATGCAAAAATAATTTGTGAACTAAATGGGAAATTAATTTAATTTAAAATATCTTAATATAATTGCTTTTAAGGGATCTTTTTGGGGATTGAAATTTTATTATCGGTTAAAATATCATTATGTTTTCTTAATAGGAAAAATTTCTATCCGTTAAATACCCAAACGAACGCTTAGTATAACAACAAGAGTACAAAATAGGGAGCTGTTTTAGATACGAACGCATGTGCTCAATACAGCATAAGTATAAATAGCGATAGGAGACAAAAGATTTGGGCAATTAATCTAAAATAGGTTAGACTAAAGGGTATGTATAGGTTATTAATGAAAAACAAGAGTAAGATAAGTTGGGTCACGTGTACATCTGAAACCTTAGAATGATTGTTCTTTAAAAGCTAAAAATTTACCGTGCAACAAAATTTTGTATAACTCGTATTCATTTAGGTAGTTATTGGGTGACATTTACATTAATTGTTGGATTAAAAAGCGTACATTAAATTGTACAATGATTGGTGATTCAAATGTTCACAGTTCGTTTATGCAAAGAAAATTTTCTGCATGCTGTTAAAAAAAATAAATAATTAATAAATATAGATCCACATGAATAATCCATTTTATATATTCTTTCCTTTCTTTGAATATTGTGATGTATTTAAAATCTAAATTTTCTTAAAAAAAAAAAAAAAAACTCGGAATAATTTTTTTTTTTTTTTTTTTTGTATCTTTATACATGATAAGATGAATTTTGAAGAATCAACGATATCTGATATAATAGATATAGATACAGGAGAAATAGAAGATTCTTTCACCAAAAAATTTCCCGTAAACAGTATTGAACATTCATTAACGTTTGATAATTTATCTATAAATACGATAAATTTAACAGAATCAACAGATTCAGTATTCAGTTTACGTATTCATACGATTAACAAAATAATACGATTTTTCAATATAATGCTTATGGTAATACTTATACTACTCATATCAATGTTAATCATGAGAGATTATTCATTTTTCGATAGTGATAATAGTAGTCAAGTTTATTTACCACTCTCATTAATAATTCAAATTATATTAACTTTACTGGAATTTATCTCAACATGTAATACTTTAATTCGGTGTAAAAGTGGAATAAGAACAATTGTACTATGCGCGATTGGATTTTTGGCTTATTTTATATTAGCAGTTATGAATATATTGATGATACCACCGGATAGATTTTGTTACCTTCAAAATCATATGCAAAGTTGTAATTTATTCTCTGCAATTTTGGTAATTACTTGGATTCCTGTGGTTTGTTATTTATTGGCAATGGGACTCAATACTACTGAGTGGTGGGAGAGAAAGTGCGTTCCTTTCAGAAGAAATTAGAACAATCTTTTTTAATTATTTACTCGCATACTGTAATTTTTGTATATGTAAAAATTAATGCGCATATATGCATTTTGTTTCTTTGTTAATACCCCATACGTACGTGTGTACTTAAATTTTGCATTTTTATAAGTATTTCATATTCACATAGGCATTGCATTTTTAATTATTGTCACATCTCAATTCTGGGCGTGCATAAGAAGTCTGCATGCATGATAGCAGATATTTTAGTAATCAAGAAAGTTTGAAAACCCCCAAAAATAACCACACGAGATAGTAAAAAAAAAAACACATGTTAACAAATATATATCAATTTAATATTATTAAAGTTTTGTTCGATAAAGTTCAAAAACCAATATTTTGGATCAATATTTCGAATCAGTCCAGATCTTTCGAGGCATCACACTAAAATAACTAGATTCGTAACGTTCATGTATTTTTATTTTTATTTATTTTTACTAAATTTATTAAATGCATTATATTAATTGAGATTTTTTTAATAACGTCTTTTAATCACGTGAAAGCCCAAAAAATTTACTTATTCTTTGATATATAAAATACAAAATTAAGTTAAAATTGATAAATAGACAAAGAAAAGAAAAGCATTTATAAACCACGAGTTTCTTCACGACAAAATTACAATATAATTAATACGTTTATATATAAAAGAAGATGGTATGGTGACATTCAATTTCCGTGTAAAAGCCCTGAATAAAATAAAAATTGTATAATTAAAATTAACCACATACGTACTTCATTTATTTAAAGGAAAAAAATTACAAATAGTACCATTTGGTTGATAAGAATTATTTTGTTGCCTGTTCCTACGAACGTTATCTGTTTGAGAATAACTCGTTGAATTCCGGATTAAAGATCCATCTACATCAACAAATGCAGATACTGGTTGTCGTCTTTGAGATCGAGTCATTTGTTGACCATAGTCATCTTCATAATAAAATGCGTTATACCTAACAAGTCCTCCTGAATGTTCTGCTGATCGTCGCATTGGCTGCTCTTGTTGAAATTCCATCTCAATTCCTTCATCATCTCGTGTAGGTTGCGTACTTGTTGACAGGAAATCTGGCAATTGTGATTGTGGGGTATCACTTGAATATGAATCAAACTCTTCGGGATTTTGACCGGTGAGATCGGGGCTATCATAATAGTTAAACCATGAATCATGACTAACACCTGTAGCAGATGTAATGATTGGATCATTTTCATGCAATCGATATGGTGATGATTCAGATTCAGGTATTATTTGTAAATATTGAGGTGAAAATATTTGTTGTCTCGATTCTTCACGATTATAATAAGGAATCAATTGCCTATCTCGAATTTCAAGTTCTTCTTCTTGTTGAGGTGAGGAAGATTCTTCTTCTATTTGTGCTAGAGTCGTTTTTCGTTGCTGATTTCGACGTCTAGATTGTTGGGAAGAAGCACCTCGTTGTTTGCGTGTCGATTGTCTCCTTTGAGTAGAATTTAAAGTTATACGTTTGTTATTTCTATTTTGCGAGCGACGTCGGTTCGGTTCAGGATGATAACTAGCAGGAGGCAATGGATCAATTTTTATCTGATGTTGTGCAGCATATGCTCGAGTTACAGGACGTGTACTTCTTGTTGTTTTAGACATGGTGTATCAGTGCAAAAAGATGAGAGAAAATGAAAATTAAAAAAAAAATTCTCGCAAGCCCTCTACACCTTCATTTATTAAAAAACGACGTATTGTAATATTGTATACATTAGTAGATATATAGCTGCAGGTTATAGTATTGTAAGTGTATTGTATTTAACCTAGTTCAGCACTAATTTAGAAGTAAAGTAAAAAATATATTCTGCAATTCAACAAATTTAGAAGTAAAAATTTTATGATAAGACTAATTTAGAATAGAATGTGAAAAAAGAGCGGCTTGATGTGGCTAATAAGCCGATAAAATCTCCAATAATTACAATGTACGTACGTACGAAAATATTTAATAAATAAACCGTTCGCAACCAAAGTTAAATAATGCTTATTAACTTTTGGTCACTGATAATTAACCGTTATCATTGCTTTCATTTTTTCTTTTTATTATGCTATATTTGTGAAATTATTAATTAATAAATTGGTAAATTAAAAACACTGACATCATTTAAAATTCATGACAGAGCTATATTAATTGAAATTTACACGCTACACTCATTATGATTGTCTTGTTGCTAATATGAATTGGTTTACACGGGTACGTATAAATTAGGGTTGATGGTAAGAAAATAAATTTATTTGATTTAAGAAAATAAATTTATTTGATTTCGAAAATAAATTTATTTGATTAGCAAAAACAACCCTATTTTAAGAGTTTATCATAATTATCTTTGGTTCGATTCTAATTCACGTAACTGTTAATTTTAATATTACCATCCTATGCATTTGGCAGATGTATATATTAATCTAGAATTTTTGGGAACTAACACTTTTTTTTAGCAATTATTTAGAGAAAAAAAAGGATAACAAATCAGCAAATTATTTATAACTTTGTTATAGAAGAAGCCTTAGTTCTACGTAGCGATGGGATTTTCTAATTTTTTAATTGTTAACAGCAAATTGTTAAATTAATAATCCCAATCACTATATCAAGATCACGGGGATTATTATTACTAATTCATTTCTATCGATTAATAATTCAAAATGCATAGAAGATTATTGGTAGAAGGTATAATTAGTGATGCGTCCTAATGACGTTTGGCTTAAGCCATAATTAGCTAAAGCTTATGTCGTAAAGATTCTACCGCATCACTAGATATATATAATCAATCACTAGATATAATCAGTAATCAATCAAATCAATCATAAAATATATATATATGCGGTTTAATAAAATGCATAGTCTATGAAAAACCTCTCTAAATGCATGGTTTGCTCGGTCCCAACTTATATAATATAGATTATTACTACTCAGAATGCAATACTAACTGTCATATGTAACTCGTGATTACTGGAAAATTTATCGGTTAATTAGCCACATCAGCCCCGTTACTTTTGTTCTATCCTAAATTAGTTTAATCGCAGAATATATTTTTACTTTACTTCTAAATTAGTATTAGGAACTAGGTTACTACAATACGAATCTGCAGCCAAACTTACTATTTACGTCGGCCCATTATGACTTCTTTGTCATTAAAATACGGCAATGAAATTAGATTATGTGCCCACCAATGTGCTTTTGTATTGTTTTCTGTACGTACGTACATATATATCTGGCACTCAACAATCGCTTAGAAATAGCCCCTATTTATTAATTTCGTCATGTACATGTGTTAAATCTTTATTTATTTCCTTTAAAAATTATTATGAAGTGTGTTACGTTATTTTTACGACAACGCTGTAGGCGAAATTGTATTGTTCAGAATTGGAAAGCTACGTCTAAATTCATTGTTTTGATTATCGTTTTTTTTTTTTTGATTTATGAATGCTTTGTATTTGCTCAGTTTAAAACAATACTTTTAGGGAACAGGTATTTCCACACCCTTTGATCACGTGCATACGTATTAAAAAAGTGTATTTTTTTATTAACGTTAGTAATTTTTAACGAAGTTGTATTATAGCTATTTGATCCAGTGAATTGCACATCGTGGTATTGTATTGTATAATTTCGTAATAATTTACAAGGGTGTGGAAATACCAAAATTGGAAGTGGAAATATCTATTCCCTACTTTTATGCTATAAGTTTGTTGATCATTTTTCTTCACTGACCCGAGAAACAATAATTCAACAACCGAAATTAATTGTCAATATAGATACCAAATGTATAGCCTAGTGTACAAATTTTTTGTCTGAAGCGACAATGAGTGAATCATTATCTGTTATATTGTGTGAAGTACATACGTATATGTCCGTCCAATTCAGTGATGATTGAATGCATAGTAGATCATAAGCTCCAGACACGCATTACCTATATATATTTAAAATTCCTTATGTTACGTATATAGTGGGTATAACTATTACTAAAGCAGGATATGATGCGATTATGAGATCAATTATACGATGAATGTGAAATAATTTTAAAATTGTGATTTTTAAACATAAAATTCATTAATATTCTAAGCATGTCTATATTTTTGAGGAGCTAAAAAGCTACTATACAGAAACTTTGAATCTCTTAATGCGCAGTAACTGCATAGTAATTATGTAGTTACAATTAAATTTAATAGTAATTATGTAATTACTATGTCGTTACTATGCAGTTACTGCATATTAAGATAGTTAAATTTCTGTAAAGTATATTCTAAATGTACGCCTAAAAGTGGTAATAAACTCTTGATATAGTTAATTCCAAAGCTATTCCACATACTCCATATAATAAAATTTTTCTCGTTATACAGTAGTGAATTTGCTAGTAAAATAGCGTTCCTGATGGATCGTCAGCACCGTTCTTGATAGGGTTCTTGAAGGAACCCCAAAGTCGATTTTTCATGACAATGTTGATCATAATGGGAATGCTAAAATCATGACCCGTGATTAGTAAATAAAGTTTATTTAAAATTATCTATATATTGATTCTTAAAATAATACAGTATCGTATCTACGCGCGAAATAACGTCCATTCGAGACACGTAATATGAAGAAGCTAATAATTGATTTAGCAAAAGAATTTTTAACAATAAAATTATGGTTAAATTAATTATTAGCTCTCTTTGACCATGGACGCAAATACGGTAAGGGTATTTGGATTAAAAACTTTTACTAAATGAACGAAAACTAATTTCCATGCAAATTATTTCCTATTTAATTGGGTTGCACAGCAATAATGGGATGCCAAATTTTTATGACACAGCTTTATATTTCGATAATGCAGCTTTTAGAACCCTATCAGGAACGGTATGTAAGTCGATCTTTTTTTTTCATCCATCAGGAACAATTTTATAAATTTTTATTAATAAAATGAAACTTGCGTACTATATACTTTACTATATATATTATATATTATTAGACTAATAAATTTGTCTAACAAAACTATTTTAACATCAAAAAATAAAAATAAAATAAAATATAATAAAGTTAATAGAGTAGGTTTGATTAATTTTATTAATTAATATATAGTAATATGCAATTACAGAATATATGATAGTAGTTTACGCACCTCACCTGACGATCTGAATCGGAGGTGCGTCAGCTGTGATCTGAGGCAAGCGTTAGTCTATATACGTATACGTAGTACACTTACGATTTTATAATTTTACTATATACAGTATATAGATTATAATAAAGTTTATTATACAAATATAATGCATAACAAACTTTTATACTAACTCAAATTTCTATTATATTTATATTTTAAAAATAGATTAACTTTTTAGCATAATATATAAAATTTTAAAATTTTTATATATAACTACAAATGCATGAATATTGCAGACAATCATTTAACAGACATTTCTTTTTATAGACAATTCATAGACAAGTTTACAATTACAGTAATTTAATTTACAGAAAGTTCATAGACAGTTCATTTTACAGACATTTCATTTTACAACAATCTTTAACGCTGATTCAGGAGTTATTTGCTGTTAAAGTTTGTCTATAAAATGAACTGTCGATAAAATGAACTGTCTATGAAATGAACTGTTTATGAAATGAACTGTTTGTAAATTAATTGTCTTTAAAATAAACTTGTCTACGTATAAAGTGATTTTCTGTGAAGTAATACCTAACCGAATATACTTTTTTTTTTTTTTACCTAAAATATATATAGAACATATAAAAATAAGAGTTATAAACACGTATACGTCGATTTAATCTTTATAGTTTTTATCTTTCAAAATATATATATATTTTTTGCATGGTGATAATATTCGAAATATTTGTTTATGGTATTAAAATATTTTATTGGATTTTATGTTGCGTACGAACGTATTATAGAATTGGTTTAGTACAATATTTGCCCTATAAATCTTGCTTTTTACAAACATATTTCATATATACTATTCTAAATGTAATGTGATAATAATATTTTCTAATTAAATAATACTCCTTATTTTAAATCATGCCACCAAACCAAAATTATCCAAATACGGCTATTATGTATATGATAATCTTCTAACAACAATTAAACATATCTTCCCTAAATAAATAGCAAAAATAAAATTACTCGTCATCGTCATCATCATCTCCTTCGTCCTCCTCTACATCAGTAACTTCAGCTCCAAGTTCAACCAATCTTTCTCTATACTTTTTAATATTTGCATCTTGATCTGCAAGACAAGCAAGTAAATCTTCATGTTCTTTTTCTAATTTTATTCGATCTGATTTTTGAGTTTCTATAGTTTGCTTTAGCGATTGTATTTCTTCTTGCAATGAAGATACTTGTTCTGAAGATGATTTCTGTAATATAGAAATATTTATTAATAACTTTTAAGTATATTATTCTCAATTATAAATATTGCTAGTACCTGAATTTCTAACTGTTCTGCAAGTTGTCTTATCGTTTCTTTTAACTCAATAATTTCTAGCTCTTGAGTTTGTATAACAGATTTAAAAGATAAAATCATTGAAGAATCATGATCACCTTGAAAATCGTTTCCTGCTTTGCAAATAATCATGCAATTAATTTATAGCTAATAATACTAATAAACTTCAATTGCAGACTGTTAAA